CAATACATTCTAGTTGCTCTCTCACATAAAGAGCAACTCCACCACCTCGCTTCCCTGCCCTATCTTTCCTAAAAAGCACATATCCATCCATGGCCACATTCCAGTCATGTGAGCTGTCCCACCATGTCTCTGTTATTGCTACTAGATCATAACCCTTAGCCCGCACACAGACCTCTAATTCCTCCTGCTTGTTCCCCATGACAGAGCACACCGGTGGGACTAAATCCTCCTTGGACGACCTGACTTTGGGCCATGGTGTGTTCCTCTTGTGCTTGTCCCTAACAGACCCGGTCTTCTCCCCTTCCCCCATCACATCTAGTTTAAAGCTCTATCAATGAGCCCTGCCAAGTCCTGCCCCAAAAGCCTCTTCCCCCTCTGGGACAGGTGCATCCCACCAAAAAAAGAGGAAAAAAACCAAACCACCAACTGTTTATTGAGCTTCTATGAATAGAGAAGACCTCTTTAAGAATTAAATGTTCATAGAAGAAAAAACAAAACCCTGACAAATGTGTCTTTAATATGCAGAAATGTGCTTTGGTATCTCAGCTGGAGTGTGGAGTAAAAATGTGGTTTGTTTCTGTTAATCTTGGTGATTAAGTTTAATTATTTAGTTCACTTTAGTAGCAAGAGAGCGGCCTTTCTAATAATTTTCTAGGATGCCAGGGCTTAATTGAATTAGTAGTTAGCTTTTAAAATAGATGCTTTATGTTGAAACATTCTGTAAAATATTACTAGTCTTGTTCTTACCCTTAGTGTACATTTTTTACAAATGTTACAAGGCATCCAAAAGTGTTATTTGAGATATAAATTGGACAGTGACAGATAACGGCTGATAGTAATGAAATGAAGAATCCCTCTGAACCCTCTAATAAGTGTGTTTTTAGTGCTACACTTTTTTCAGCCTGGTAGGCTTTTTGTTAGTGTGTTGGGTTTTGTTCCCCTTTTCTGTTGAATTTTTGGATTTGTGGGGTGGGTTTTTTGTTGTTCTTTCTGCAAAAAACTTGCTAAGAGGCCTTAAAAATATGGGGAACTAACAGTTGGTACTATGTAAACAGGGAGAAGAGCAGCCAACAGGTCCTTAGAGGATTCCAGATGTGTTCACTAATGGAGAGAACATTTTGCCTCTGCTGGAGGGTGAAAGTACCTGTCTGGATACAGTAGGCTTGATCTGCGTGTCACTGTCTAACTCAATGTTTCTCAGACTATTCCTAGTGCCACCCTTGGATTTACCTTGAATTTATCTGTGTTCATTTAATCTCCTTGGCTCAAAACAACTTTTACTTCAGCCTGGAAAAAGCTAACTGCTCTTAGTCATGACTCGCAAAAATCAGTGCTAACAGTTTTGAGGCATTCTTGCCTAAAATAACTGCCAATCTTCTGAGTTTTGAAGTTGGCTTTGAATGTAATCTTAGTTACTCATGTTAAAAATTATTTGAAAGAGAGCTACATGCAATAGAACATTTGAGATGGTTAATTAGTGTTGCAGGTGGGAAAAGAAACTATGGGAAAGGTGAAATGAAAGACAATTTTTTTGAGTGTGATAAGTAATCAAAAAAGATTAAATACACTATTCATACCTTTTTAAAAAGCTAAAAATATTGCAAAGACTATTGTGTAAGGTGATCTGGCAGTGGAGTAGTGGAGTAGCAATGAGTGACAGTAGCACAGGTAGCAACAGTAAGAATTAGTGTCTTAGACCAAAGCCACCAAGAGCTCTTGGTGTGGTCTCTTCAGCTGGTATAAACAGAGTCCTTAGAGGCTTCAGATCTCTAAAGAAGAGCTTCATCTACTAAGCAGATGAACTCTACTGTCCTTGGGCAAAAGACAGTGGTGCAAAATCTGAAAGGGCGATTAGTTTGCTGCCTCATCAAGTGTGTGAATCTGTAAGAGGATTGGATTAGCATATTCAGGGAGCAGTGATTTCTCCTATGATCGATTACTTAGGATTTTCAACTTAATGTGTTGCTTTAATTGCCTCTACAACAGTAGTATTTAGCTACAAATCCATAGGTAATTTCATATGGGTAGCAAGGGAAGGATAATTTCTAATGGGCGAAAATAATAAAATAATCATTTTTTAGTGAAGGCTTAAGGTCTATTTATGCTTTCAGTGGGAATTTGTAGAAATTTAATCTGGTTCTTTACTACCAGGTATTCTTGGATCTAAAACTTTTTCTGCCCTCTGGAAGAAATATTTTCATCCTGATTTCTTACTGAAAGATTTGTTGACTGTTTATCTTGATAACCAGTAGCTTTCTTCTACATCTAAGTAAGCTTCTCTTCAAAGAAACCTAGCAACATTTGAGTGCTAGACCTTCAGCCAGACTTTTTAGTAGTCTTTTCTCTATGTTATGTTGTTCTAGAACCATAGAATTGTTCGGGCTGGAAAGGGCCTTTCAAGTTCTAGTTGCAACCACCCCTTTATAGAGTTTTCTACTGGGTGAGGTTGCTTGAATCTCCATCCAACCTCATCTTGAACATATCCAGGGATATAATGGAATTTTGGTATAATGCAGTTTTCTTATCTTGAGAGTAATTGCTCTTTTCTTGTGATTTTTTTTTTAAAACATTTGTGTGGAGCTGCATTATCATTGTATAGGCCTGTTAGATATACAGAGTGTTTCAGTTTCACAGAATTTCTCAGAACATAGGATGAGCATCTACCTTGTGACCTTCCGAATTGGTATTTTTTGTTCCTATTTGCAGTTGCAGTCATGAACTCTGTTTTAAAACAAGAGTGTTAATATATTTCAGTGGCTGCATTGACCAAAGGAGGGGTTTTATGATTAAGCCTTTTATTAGTTTCTGGATTCAAGAGGCTCTCTCTCTATCAGTGATCATTCTTTTCATCTCTTTGATATAGAACAGGTGAGCAGCTCCAAGTTCAGTACAGAAGGAGATGTATGGTTATCTTTTTTGACTTAATGAGTTTTGTGGGAATTTTTTTGAATCTTTAGAAAAAGCTGGTGTTCTGTGTAGAAACTGTGGAGGCATAAAACTTATCAACCAGTCACTGCTATATGAGAGGCTTTGCATCTTCTCTTTAGTAACAGGGGGACCTGGTGTGCAGTCTGAGGAATCCTACTACTTTTCTAAGGTCATAGGTTGCCTTGTTGGGAACAGCTATACTGAAACACAGAGGGCTGTAATGCTCTTGTTTAACTCTGCTTCCCACTGACCCCTCATTGATCAAATACTCCAGCAAGCAGTGGTTTCATCTGTAGGTCCTTATGGCTTTTTTGTATGTCTGTATTTTGTGGTTGCTGAGGCTTTTAGTGAGTCTTGGAGCTTGGCTTGCAGGTGGTCATTGCAGTTACATTTGTGCCATGTCCAGATCTGCTTATATGTGCTGATAAGACGTCCTTGGTAATATCACAAATTGTCATTTTTTGAAAGTTTGGTTTGACAGCAGTCTCATTGCATAATGTGTTGTCAGTCCTGTAAGTCAACATTCTTCACTGAACATCTGATACAAAGACACACATGGATTGCATTTTTCTCTGTAGAATCTTCCTCAACACAGTTTTGTCAATTCTAGATTGTGCCATTTCCTTGGCAATTTTCCTGCTTCTGTTTATTCTGAAAAATTAGTCTTGGGTTGTTTACAAAAGTACAGAGGAAACAGTGTTTATTTCCTTAATATTAGTTGTTAGCCATATGAATGTGACTGATGACACAGAATAAACTACTCTGAGGAAGCAGTAAAACAAGAAAAAAAGAGGGGGCCAGATTTTTCTTTTAAAATCACACTGCCTGTGTGCTCATGTGCTTCTACAGAGTGTGGTCCAAATTAAGTCTTATTTGGGAGGGGCAACTTGTGCATCCAGAAATAAAAATTTTGCTTCCATTTTTGCTTGTCTTCAGATAAAGCCTTTTCCAAAGTAAGAAAATGAGGAATCTCTGTAGAGAGGTTATCATGAACCAAAAGCTGTTTTTGAACATGGGGTGTGTAAACTGCTGTGTGGCTGACAGATGAGCTGAAAGATAGAAAATAAAATGTTCTTTATAATGAATTAAATCAGAATTCTGTTTTTGAATTCTCAACCTCATTACAAAACCTTTACCTTCTTTCTCGCTGTTAGTAATGATTTCTGGTCATTTTAAGTGTTTTTAGGATTAAAATACATTTCTGTTGGTTACAAGCCTACAAGAAGTGAGGAATATCTAGAAGTAAAAGGATCTTTTTAAACCAGTAAATTTGAGTGTACTGCTTCTATTAAAGTTTTGGCTTTATCTTGTAAAGACTTATTAGAAAATGTTACATATGGTATGTTTCAGAAAAGCTGCAACAAAGCTATTAAAATAGAAAAATGAATGCATGAATTATTTAAAATGGTGCAACTGTTGCTGTTAAATAATCCAGGCACTTGGAAGGCAATTACACTGAGCTTTGACAACACTGCCAACCCGCTGCACAGTGTCTTATGCCAAAAGCTATTGTTGTTTTATTGACCACGTTCACCATTACATATGCATATGAAAAAACAGAGGCATTTTCATCGGGATTACCCTAATAGCATTAAGAGATTATTTTTTAAATTTTCTTGGAAGGAAATTCACTTAAATGAGATTACTTATTACTTGACTGGTTTCCTATCATACTGCTATGTTTAGGTGAGTGGAGTCCATTGGAGTTTAAAGTTTTTTAAAAAACTGATTTTATACATTAATGATTTCAAATAAAAGAGAATTACTGTATTTGTGCACAGTTTCTTCTGAGAAAGTTAAGTCGATGTTCTGGTTAGGAGAGATAACACTTTTTGTCCCTCATGGTGGCCCCCCTAGTGTCACCATTAGCTGCTAATTACTTGCAAACAAATAAACAATTAACTCCTCGTGCCTCTTAGTGGGAGAGTTTTCATTGACATGCTAAAACTTTCTAATAAAAGATTTTAATTAATGACGTTGCAAATCCAACCCCCTTGTCAACATAGCTATAAGGAGGACTTGGGGAGAAATGCAAGTACAGTACACATGCTGTGCTGGCTGAAGGGGAAAGCATGGCAAGTACAGCGCTGTGTGTTGCTAATGCATCGGCGCCTCAGAATCTCCGGAAAGTGCCTGGGTTTGTAGAAAATAAAACCACACAGTGCTCATTTTCCATTGAAAGTATTTTGGGACTGGAGCAGAAAAAAGATGGCATTCCAGCTGTGAAACCTCACAGACCATGGATGGATGCATGTGCAAGCTTGGGTAAGTCTGCAGTCTGTTTTGTAACCTCTTACTCTTCTACTCCTTTAAAAATGTACATATTTTAATGTTTCTACTGAAAACCAGTACATTGAAGCTATAATTTCCTTGCTTTTTCTAGTTCTAGGTGATGACAGCAATCCCCATCTCCAAATTCCTGTTGTTTGCTATGAAAATGCATTATTTCATGCCAACAATAATCCAGTGCAAGAGGAAAAAATTTTGAAGTGTGAAAACTATTTTTCAGTCACTGAAAGGCTGTCCTTCAAACGAGACCTGAGCTGGTACAGGGGTAGAAGACCAAGAACTGCATTCACTAGAAACCAGGTAGGGATTTTATTAGTATTTAACTCATGAGTAGTTTTAACTCGTGTAGTTTAGTGAAATGTTGGTAGAAGGCTGTAACAGCCAGCTAATTCAGTATGAGGTACATCTGTTGAGAGAAATGTGATCAGGAGTTAGTGTAAATTAACACTAATATTGCTAATTTCAGCAGACCTGTGTATGAATCAGAATTGTGCAGACACTGTTCTGAAGCCTCACGTTTAACAAACTAAAATGCTTTTTGGATTTATTTTCTTTGTTACTCCTATTGAGATAGTGATAACTGGTCAACAACTTTGTTTTAATCCCTTCAGATTGAAGTCTTGGAAGATGTTTTTAAAACGAACTCCTACCCTGGCATTGATATTAGAGAAGAGCTGGCTCACAAGTTAGATTTAGATGAAGACAGGATACAGGTAATTAAAAATTTTAACTTTTATGTAATTCCATCTACATGTACTATCCGGTTATATAAATAAGTAGTTTGACATTATTATTATTATCATTATCATCATATTAGTTTAAAACCATGTACATTTATACATGTGGTATGCATTCAGTGATTTGTGACATGGAAGCCACTGAGTTACTTTTGAAATCTTAAACCTTCTTCCATAGCATTGATGTGGAATTAATTGCTACAATATTTCCATATCTGCTCTGTTAATCTCTAGTTATCATGTGTGGAACTTAATAATTTGCTTCCATGTTTAAAAATCATGTTTATATTATACTTGTCACCCCATATTTGAAAAACAAATTTGAAACCATTATTAAAATAATTTGTATAAATGTCTTAAGTATTTTATGAGACTGTCAGTAGAGCACACGTGTTGAACATGTAGACTCAAACATTGGTTTCTCTGAACAAAAGCAAAACCTACTCTACTACTACAAATTTTATTATTGATTTACAAGTAGTCCAATGTGATAAGAAGCACACCAGAAATACTAGAATTCAAGCCTCACCTTGAGGTTTATTAAGCTTTGGATACCAGTACTATATTGGGGTTGATGGCAAGCTCCATGCTGCAACTAATAAGCAGGCTGAAGATGTAACACCCTACGTGAGTGTGAATTCTAGATGCTCAGATCTTCCAGTGTCAGTTAATACTAGTTTTTATACTAATTACAGTGAACCTGGTCCTCACTTTCCAGTTAAGATGGAGGTATTTATTTTTTTGTCTGGTATGTAAATTACTGGAGGTAATGCCATTACCTGCAGATTTAAAATTTGCATTGAACTTCCAAACTACACAAAATAGTGTTGAATTTTGTGAATATATTTAACTTTCAAAGCTTGTTCTGTTTACAGTTCTATATTTCTGAAAAATGTGCCTTTTTTTTCCATTATAGATCTGGTTCCAGAACCGCCGTGCAAAGCTGAAAAGATCACACCGAGAATCTCAGTTTCTAATGGTGAAAAATACTTTCACTTCCAGCCTGCTAGAGTAGAACAAAGGATGGTTTGGTGTTGTGGCACTGCAGTAAAACATGAGAAATTATTGGAATTTCATACCTTGTATTAAGTAATGATGAAATATTAATTATAATTTTATCTCCAGATTTGAAAGTTTATCTTAATTTTCACTCAAATAAACTGTAAATACTTCAAGTGTTGTTATAATCTACTCTTTGTGGAATGAGTGAACTTTTCCTATATATTTTAATAAGTATTTTCTGAAAGGTGTCGATATTTTTGCAGTTTAAAGAAATCCAAACTGTAGGTTGCACAAGATTTTCAGCTAGTGTACGTTGCTGCAACTTAACTGAAGAGGACTTAACAAAGCTTCATGGTTTTAAAAATAAATCTGTTTAAAGGCTGAAATACACAACATAGATTTTGCTACCTGAAAGAGATTGTACATAACGTTGAAGTTTTGATAGGGAATTTATAAAGAGTATGGTAGTTTTCATAAATAGCATAATTTTTACAAAAAGGTGTCTCAAATGGAAGGTCTACTATTCAACCGATTGTTCAGTTTGAAAAATTAGTTAAAATAAGCTGAAAACTACCTTTTTAAAGTAATATTTTAACTAATTTAGGGCATTTTTCTTTGTAATACTTGAACTTGGGTATCTTCTCTCTTGTCAATGTAAGTAAGGGGTCTAGTTATGGAAGTTGCCCTCTTGTCTTTTAATGACAGATACAGTATTCCATAAGATCATATCACTTGGTACCAAACCAGAGATATCCAGATCATTGGCATTCATCTTGGAGTTTTGAATTAATTTTTATCCAACAATACATGACAGTTAATTATCCTTATATTTGATATTCAGCCTGAAGTCAAAATGCGTAAGGAGAGCCTTGTACAAAAAAACAACTAAACAACCACCCAACTCTTTATGGCCTTGATGTAGGCAAAGGTAAGTGCGGGTTAACTCCGTTCCTTGTTCAGCAAAGGTTTAAGTGCTTCCTTGAAATGCAGTTTTGGGTTTTGTGAAATAACATGACACTTGTCATATCATGAACAAAACAAGTATTGCTTTTCCATTCTTGATCCTTGTATCCAGGATATCTACTGTCCTATAGAATGAAAGGTAAGTTTGAGAAAAGGGGTGATAAAAACCCGTTAATTTTATGTAGTCTCATAGTAGTAAAAGCTAAAGGGAAATATGAACTGATTTCAGTCCTTAGTTGATCTTTTGGATGACAGCTTGAGATATAAGACTTTAAATAAAAGCTGTTCCTGTATTTTCTGTAAAATATTACTGAGAACCTGTCTTAAGCCAAGTAGGCTCATTGTCTTCATTTTTATATAGTCTCTAAAATTTTGAATTGTTTGACTTTGCTTCTGAAAATCTTGTCAGTGTGAAAATAACAAATTTTTATCCAATATTGAAATGTTACTTATTCATGCTTTGTTGGATTCAGGAAATAACATTACTAACTGAAGTTCTTTTATGTGCTGCATTCAGAAACACTTAAGAGGACATTTACAAATAAAGCTATCTAAATGGAGCCAAATCCACTAGGAATAGTTTTAAGAGAAGTTGGAATTTCAATTCAGATCTGGTAAAGGTAAAGACAATATTGGGAATGCATGAGTTCTATCTTGTTTTTCTTCTCACCTTAAAACACACATTGCCTATAGCTTTAACCTCATTGGAGGTAATTTGAAACTATTGTCTAATTTACTGCTGGAAACAAGGTTTCCAGCAGCAACAGATTAGACTAATCTGTACAGATTGATGCCTAAGAACCTTATTCTATTATCTAGCAAATACCTAAATACACCTAATGTCTCCTATAATGGAACTTGTCTCAAGTGACGGAAGTCTGACAAAGCAATTTAAGAGTAGAATACTACCAGAATAATAATAGCACCAACCCTGGTAGCCAGCTCTCAATTAGCAAATGTTACCAGAGGAATGACTGGTGTAAGGTGCAAAGAGTGTCACACATAGTGCTGAGTGAGCAGAAAGTTTAACAGCGTAATTGCATTATTTGGTTACTTTGGGCTTAATTTGCTCTTCACAAAGTAAATGCATCAACAAGTTAAAAGAGAGCCTGTAACTTTGTACCTACTTTTATCGGCTTGGATTTAAATTGTGGCCATCACTTTCTCACATACAGCTGAATTTTTTTTAATCTTACAAAATATAAATCTGGACTTCACAGGATTTTCTAATCTGATAGCATCTTGGTGGGGGGGGCGGGAAGAAGATCCCATCTGATTGCATTACAAAGGAAGTTCGCGGTCATGATGGACAAACAGGATTGTTAGTGAGGGAGGGCAATCTAAGGCTGTTGAAGAGCCATCAGTTCTAGATTGCATTGTGGGGGAATAGTCTCTTTAATTGCATGATATGACGGGGGGAAGGGGGGCGAGCAGCAAACGGGGAAAATCAGTCTTTGTGTTTTGGGCACCCAAAGCTGATACTGGTGCGGGCCAGCAGATTTTTCTGGGCACAAATCAGGTAAATCTCAGAAAGTGAGCTACTGTGTCAGCCTGGCTCAGTATTAGCATTGCAGTTTTGCTGTTTTAGACTGACTAGCAAAATGGAAAAATAATAATCTATTTGCTGAGTTCAGAAAAAGCAACAAATTGAATTTATTCTAACACCTGTTTTTGCAGGATGCTGTTTATTAGCAATAAGAACATGATAAAAAACGCTTAGAGATACAGAGCCTTGGGTGCAGATGTAGCACGATTGCCTGTGACTCTCGTACCGCCTTGTGTGTTTTAGATTTGATGGTATGAATGTGTTATGGTGTCAATGTTAAAGTGATTGGACAAGTGGCGTGTTGCCTGGGCCTTGGCAAAATGAGATTGAGCTTCTGTGAGCGATGCCATATTAAAGAAACTCAGAGGATAGCATGTCAGTTATTCTGCGTTAAAGATTGTTGGCTATATATTAGCTGCATCTAAAACACTTAGCTTTTTCTTTTTAAATCAGACTTGGAACAGTGTATTTTAAATGCGTCTAGAAATACTGGGTTGCTTTTGCCCTCTGGTGGCTTGATTTTATAATTACAGTTCTACATGTTAAATTAATTCTGAGTAAAATCTGAAAGCATCAGCTAGGCTGCAGGTAGACAGAATGCCAGCAAGTCTCTACTGATTTTAATTGTTGTACTAACTTTGTGGCCAAATTTATACTGTATGTGCATACAGATGCTTGACGTTGGGCCTAATTCTTAAAAGTTCTGGATGGTCAATATGGGTCTGACCCTAGTGAAAATTGGTGGGTGCTTAATATTTTTGATATTCCGAACTTCTATTCATAATTAGCTATCACCTTAAGAATACAGTTTTGGACAGTCAACATTTTAAAATCTTGCCTTTAAATTAATTCAGGCTGCTTTCATGAATACATGTTTAAGGGACTGCCCAACCAAGTCAATTTAGAGTAGCAGAATCTTTTTACATTACAGAAAGCATTAGGCAAAGTGGCTGTTAATTCTTGAAAACACCACTTATAGTATAAAACTTGTAAAACTTTAATTTTTCATTGTTTTATCACATTATGATAAGGAATCACAGAATCTTATGGGTTGGAAGGGACATTGAAAGATCATCTAGTCCAATCCCGCTGACAATGACTTTGTGTTGTTTAAATACTGTGCATTTCTTAACAGTTTGTCTTGGGTACAATATTAAAAAAAGTGATGGTATCTGCTATGATTTCTTTCTTTATTAAAATATTTGTAAGTTACCAGATGGCTTCTTAGACATGAGGCATACAGTGAACTGCAATTCTCTCTGCAGAGTTGGAACAGTGCTTTATTTTGTGCTACAGGATGTATCTATCTGACAGTCTAATTGCAAATTGCTGTAATTCATTTAGACAGAAAAAGGAAGTCATGGGGAAGCATTCCAATGAGGCATCAGAATTGTTCTTAGAATGCAATTGGCTAAGGCTGGATATTTTTGTGAAATGTAAGTTAGGTGGAAAACCTCCTATTCTTGTTTAAATGAGGAAATGGATCCAGTCTTTTTCTTCTGTAAACATATGGTCCTAGGCAATAAGTTTTATCACAATTTACAGTTCAGTAGGTGTTTTCAGTGATTGTTACTACTACAATATAATTAAAAACATAATAATTATCTATTGTAACGTATATTAGCATGCATTAATTTACCATGTAAGTATTAACAAATATTGTTCATTGTGTTTGATCAATCTATGATTATCTGTATATTTATCTTACCTTTTCCAAAAATAAGCAGCTAACTCAGTCCTGATATCTGACTGCTTCAAATTTTTGTTTTGAAAGAATGTGCCACACTGTATAAAAAAAGAACCTTGAGTTTGTTTGAGAGGTAGGGCTGTCAGCAGCAACTGTCATTCCTAAAAGGGCCCCCTTTTTTTTTTTTTTTTTTTTAATCCCAGTCTTGCAGAAATGCTGTAGATTCTTTTGTACATCTGCTATAAAATGTTTTTAAATTCTTCTCTGGAATATTATGTATCATATAAACAAAGATTGCAATTTCCATATGCTTTTCCAGACTTTGTAATTTCTTTTGTCTGTACATTTCCCTTAGTGGGAGTAGAAGGAGGTGCTATTGACAGTGTTTTCCAATCGTCTTCCAAAATGGTTACACAATAGTAAGATTTTTTAGTTCTTCCAGCTATGTTCCTATTGTTAAGTAGTGGTGTCTGTTACTAATTTCTCAATGCATTTTAATTACAAAAATCTTAAAAACATTTTCTTTATCCTTAATTACCCTTAGCTTTTGGTCTCAAATAACAAATGATGTCATCCTGAAGTGCTTGAGCAAATTACTTTCCCTCAGTTAAATGAGAAAGGTTTAAGGCAGGTTATGCTCAGTGAGGGGTCCCTTAATGTGCTAGGCTTAATTTTACAGACATCGCTACAGTATGCTGCTGAATTTCAAAATAGACTTTAAAATCAGGTTAGGGTTGTCCTCTCCTGCTTTATTTCCTTGCAGAAGGCAAATGACAAGATGTCTGGATGGAAAATTTTGTGCTGTAATAAGAAAGGG